CTCAAGCGCTACACTCGATGAATCGGATTGGTCTGGTTGGTCTGGTTGGTCTGGTGTCAAGGTGTCATCAAGCTTGCGTGGGTTTGCTTTTGTTTGATGCGCAATAACGATTTTTTGCCGCTTTCGCTTGAATGGTTAACCGTTTTCGTTAACGTATTGCAAGAATCGTCTCGTAGTCACTCCTGGAATGAAAGCAAGCTCGGTTTTGTTAACATCGTCTGCGCCTTCACCAGCTACTTTCACATGGCATTGTCAAAAATGGCGCGGAAAACTGTCTGCCAGTATTGGGTCTTAATGAGCACAGCCTGGATATAGACCTTTTTGCTTTACCAGAGGCTCTGACTTTCGTTTTCGCATCGAAGTTGACTGTGCTTGTTGAGCTTGCTCTGTATGTTCTGCTTGTTGTACTTGCTCTACTTGTTCTACTTGTTGTACTTGCTCTACTTGTGACATCTTGGGGAAATTTAAGAATGACCATGCTAACCTCTCTCAACCTTCAGTTCTTCTGTCAATCATTTTCTATACAAATTCAACCCTAATCATTTTTAAACCCATCAGTCTACACCATCTATAAACTTTACACCTGCTAGACATGCTATACATGTAGAGCCGTTCCACCTCTCAACACATGCTAACCATGCTAAACACGCAAACATGTACATCACCCTACACATGCTACACATGTTTCACCCACTTACTTTACTGCAAGACATGTTGACCTATCACATCATCCTAAACCGGCTACACATGTTGTGCATGCTAATCATGCTTCACATGTTGTACGAGCTGATCATGCTTCACATGTTGCACAGTCTTACAACCTTATACCTGCTGTACATGTTTTGCATGCTAGGTTTGGTAAACTGTCTCATCACCCAATACTGGCTACGAATGTATCACTCTCTAATCATGTTAGCCATGTTGAACTGTTTCATGACTCTACACAAGTTATACATGTTTCGCCCACTAATCTAGCTACACATGTTCAGCTACCCTACCACTCTAAGCAGGTTATTCATGATTAGCACACTAACCATGCTACACATGCGTTTTTTCACATTCACATTTACAACTTCAAACGAAAAAAATGACACCGAGTCGTCACGAGCTTTTTTCTTCTGAATTTTGCTTACTGACCACTACGCTTTTTCCAAGATATTTCCTTTACCTGTTATGGGTGCTTTAACAATCCTTTAAAAGTCCGATCGCTGTTTGCTGACACGTTGCGTCTTGTCGTCGATTCGAATAGGACAGGCTTTTGCCATCTGAATGTTTGATCATTATCATTGAATAACCCATCATACGTTTCCCGAGGTTTATTTATTAATTTGCTGGAAATCCCCTTCATTCTTTTGTGAATCGATTTGATATCACTTTCTGTACATTTTAAGAAATCGACATATGTTTTTTTCGAAATGAAGTAGCTCTCCGTTGCATAGATCTCGCCAAGGTTTTTCATCTTTTTACCATTTTCGTCTTTGATCTCGAAATCACTATGAAACTGACCAAGTCGCTCACCAATCAACTTACGGCCATATCTGCTCTTGAATGACTCAGACAGTTTTGGGATTGAGTGGCGGTCGATATGCATACTGTCAGTATCCTGGTAGTATATTTTGATATCTAACTCTTCAGCAAGACACATAATTTGGTTCATTATCCGTTTGCTCATCGAAAGAATTTGAATCCCTAAGTGTACTGGTGCGAAGTGTCTGGATAACGGTTTGTGCTCTTCAAACAAAGCAAGGTCGTCTGATATTGGTTTTTGATCGCATCTACTCCCTTAATGAAAGTCTTTGACTTCACAATCGGTTTTGAGATAGTTTTCCGTAGCTGGAATTCATTAGCATCTTAATCCCTCCTTGTAATGGATTGCCTGCGATTTTTAATTTGAGTCGTTCTTCGAGCAGTTTAGTTATACTAACACAGATCTGGGGATTGAATCCGCTTTTCCAATAGAGCCTTTCGATTACTTCATAACTTGCTTGTTGGAACTCAACCAAATCTTCGAGCGCGTACTTATCTAATATGATTTCGCAGCCAACAATATATTGGTGAAATCACGAGATTCGTTGTCTTCCTTGATTGATTGAAGCGGGAAATGCAACTTCCTACCGATTGAAAGAATTTTAACTTTACTAATATGAAAATCGTTTTCTGGTATTTCTTTGCCATGAATTTGAGGCCTACCTTTAACAAAACCAGGAATGAATGCCATGGCTGACGGATACAACGAAACAGCATCAAAGTCGAAGATTCCTCCGCTGGTAATAGTTCCTCTAATAAGCTCAACCTCTTTGTTAGTGTACTCCGTTTTGTGGTGCTCAACACGGACGTCGTTAATCATTGAGTATGTATCAAATACTTTAACATGCCACATGTTGTTTCCGCGGGTCATAACTCTGCCTGCTACGAGTGCTTTACGCGCGAAACTCAAACATGGTCCAGCCATTGAAAAACATCCATTATAAGCACCATCGTTGTTTAAAATTGCATACGCGAGCCCAGGCATTGATATATGTTGGAAACACAACGCTAAAACATCTACATCTCGTTTACAGTAATGGATGGCGTATTTCTGAACATCTAAAGCGTTGTCTTTGATAGCGTCAATCTTTGAAGCATTCTTTACTAGCGCTTCATAATCTTCGAACTGCGACTTGATACGTTCTAATGGTAACATAGAATCGAATGTATCAGCATTCATTACGTCGTGCGGAAAACTCTCTTTTTCAAGAGTAACTTCACCGCAGGCCCCCGGAAACTGCTCAGGCATCTCGGCTAGGCTACAAGAAATAAATGATCTTGTGTCCTTGAATACAAGGCGGCGACCTTTATAAGTACCCACAAGCTGTTTTACCATGTTCCCTGTCACGATGAAACCTCCGCGATTATCAAATGTTGATAAATACCAAATAAGGACACGTTCATCGAACCCGGCGTTGTGCGCCCACATTAAGAAATTTTGGTCAGCTGGAAGTGAATCAAGCATGTCTCGAACACAATTGAGACCCCAAGCTTTTTGAGTTGCATTGTTACCGATTTTCCATGCAGCGCAGTATGCGATATGATCCCCATTGAGATGGCCCCCAGCGACTTCAGGAAAACGTTTTGCAATATTAATTTCTGTTTTTGGGAACGTTTCCAAATCAAAATGCACAACTTGATATTCATTTTCAACAATCTTTTTGTCTTCTTTAGATGTAAAAGGATGTTTCCCGTATTTAAATCCCTCAACAATAATTTGGTCATCAACTTTCGTTCGTGTCAAGCCAATGCGTTTGAACCATCTTTTATCGAGAGCAAACTCTGTGAGTGAATTCATCTCTCCATATTTGTTGTTGAGCAATTTCGGGGCGTTTAGGAGCGTAATTTCGGTAAGCAACTCCTCCTTACGAAAGTAGAGTTCCGCAATAACTGTATCGGACCTGAGGAACTTCGGGGGTTTCCCATTTTTAAATACCCGCTTATACTTGACTCTGATAGAAGGGAAATTTGGATGCGAAGCAAAATGAAATAATCGAGAGCGTGCTACGATACCTTTGTTTCTTTAATAGCAAATATGTGTTGCCCAACACAGGCTAACTCAATCGGGGGTAATGATTTGTCTCCAAAAGACGATTTATTGAAATCGTATCGCCCATTCTACGTTTTATATCTTTTCATCTTGATACGAAGATTAAAAGCTTCTGCTGTCATTCTGATGAAGTCAGAGGTTGCGGCATAGGTGTACATCGTCGAAGTGATTGTAGATATGAGGTCATCTTCCATTCCGCTTTTCTCTTGCGCATTAGCTTGTTGTAAAGCAAATAGGAAGCAAGGTATTTCAGCTTCTTCATTTCCTTTCATCAATGTATGCTAAACTTGGAAATCTTCCAGCTTGAAATCATAATTCGTCAAATATCTGAAAAACTCCGATCTCTTTCTTTGAAGCTTCGCCTTCGGAATCCATTTAACTTTAACTGTTCCTGCCAGGACCTCACTGACTCCCGTGTCAGCATCCGACGTCAAGCCTTCGTCTAACGTAATTGCAAGATCTTGAACCCCAAAATGGTTTTTATGAAGCGATATAGATTTGCGAACAGTGCCATACTCGTCCTTCAGATGAGCTAAAAGATATTTTGACTCTCCGGCTGATAGATTATGAATAATTCGGTTGAATTGATGAATCGGTAGTTCGAATGCCTCACGGGGTGGGAGAGACTGAATAGACCGTAGATTACGTGTATCAATACGATTTAATTGCTTATTACTGAGAAGATTATAAATCTTTTTCATTTTTTTTTATTACCCCTGGGCAAGGCAATTGATTCTTTTAACTGATTAATAGATGTAGTCTTCCACTCTACATGTTGTCCCATGTCTTTTAGAGTCTTGTAGAGCTTTTGACGAAGAACCAAAGCCTTCGATGGCGATCTCTTTTGCTTTTTAAACATGCTATCGAGACGGTGAACCATGTTATATCCGTTAGTTTGGCTTATTGAGGCTGCTTTACTGAATATCGGTGTATATATATAGCGCCATAGTCAAGTTTAGAAAAATATCGGAAATGCCGTGTGCTGATAAAACTAACTTTAATCGGATCCAAACGAAAGAAGAATATTGTCATATACATAGACCTAAATATATGAAGATTGTCAACGACGCTAAATTGGCGTTCAAGATATCAGAACAGACGAAGGAGTTGTGTCAGTTGTATATAGTGGAAAGAAGGTTGAAAGATCAACTTGAATCAGAGAACGCAGTTTTGCGTGAAGCTCTTGAGGAAGTTGACCGTCTTCAAGAAGAAGTAGATTATTTACCTGGTAGAAAATAGCCTGCAGCAAAAGCACACTGCGATGATTTCTACAATCAAGGCAGCTCGACTCAACGCGAAGTCGAACGCTAGATTGAAATCACTAGTAGTCGATCTAGAACAGAAGAATATTGTTTAAAAAAAGAAGTTGCTTCCATGAAGCAAGACTATAAGAGATACCAGACTATAAAGGAATTTGAATCGCTTCATTTGCGTCTATTTGAGATCTACGGATGTAAAACCACTATAGAATTATCTAGAGCCATGAAGATTGAGCCTTCGGAATGTGTAGACCTATTAGGAGTTCGGCCTTGGAAGCAATATCATGAGTTACGGATGGCTAGAAATGCATTGGCTCATATCGATATGTATTAGAGAGTCTGCTCTGCTTGAGGTACTCGTTCGTTGAGCCGTGTATCTCTCATTAACCATCTATGATAGTCTGGGTCAATTATGCTTATAGTTCCAATTGATGCTCCTGCATGTCGCCCGAAAGGAATAATCAAAGCACCGATGCGTTGCTTAATTTCAGTTAACAATGGGGGTGCGCGGCTGAGGTATTTACGATCTGACAACGGAACCGAATTCGTAAGCACGACAATGGCTGGAATCTTACAACAGAACGGCAATGTACACCAGCGTTCCGTTTCATACAGCCCTCAGCAGAACGGAGTGGCGGAGCGTATGAACAGGACTATCATGGAGAAGGCCCGCAGCATTTTGCAGTACAAGAGCGCCTCGACGGAATGGTGGGCGGAAGCGGTAAACACAGTGGTTTATTTAATTAACCGCTCCAGCATCCGGCCCATCCAGACATCACACCCTACGAGTCGACTTTCAAGATGAAGCCTCAAATGGATCACTTGCGCGTGTTTGGTTCGCACGGCTACGCTCACATTGACGAAGTGAAACGGACCAATCTGGAACCCAAGAGCTTCAAGTGTATGTTTCTCGGCTACGCAGAGAATTTCAAGAGCTATCGCGTGTTTGACTTGGAGAATGCCAAGATCAAAGTGACTCGCTCTGTGAAGTTGGATGAGCGTGAGGTGGGCGGCATTTACGACACGCAAGAGGTCAAGCCGGAACGAATCATTCAAGAAATGAAGGATGGTGATGAAATCAAGGTTCAGCATCAAGTGGATCGACAGCCAGTTCTGGACGATCCGATAGAAGCTGTCGAAGAGCCAGTTGCGGATGTCAAAATGGAGGGTATGGATTACACGCCAAGCATCAATGTACACGGCCAATGCCTTCTGAGAACCCTGCACAGAACAGACTTGAGCTCATGGAGTATCATCAACCGACCCAAGTGCAACACGAAGATCGTTTGGTGTTTCGGCCTAAATTGGAGCAAACAAGAGCAAGACGTGAGCCGGTGCTAATGATAAGGAACAGCTCAGATGACGAAGAGTCGACAGAAGGCAGTGAAGGTCCACCTACTTCGAAACGTGCTAGGATTGACGAGGATGGACTCATTGTAGCAGCTGTTCTTGCCTACGCTGTTAGCATTGACGATGTTACGGACCTACCAACTACGTATGCTCAAGCAATGGCAAGCGACGATGTGATGAAATGGCGTGAAGAAATGGATGCTGAGCTTCGCTCGCATGAATAAAATCGAACGTGGACATCGAAGCCACATGGAAAGATTGAACGCACAATTAGATCACGATGGGTATTTGCCAAGAAGCGTGATTAAAATGGCGAGCAATGTCGTGCGATACAAGGCACGACTGGTCGCGAAAGGGTTCAAGCAAAAGCATGATGTCGACTTTCTTGAGACTTATTCTTCGGTCGCGAACATGAATTCAACCGGATAATGCTCGCAGTATGTGCTGAATGCGACTATCAAATAGAACAGCTGGACGTCGACACGGCTTTTCTCAACAGCGTGTTGACGGACAACGTTTT